TTTTTTATTATTATTATTATTATTATTATTAGTGTAAATGCAGCTGGATAATTTAGATCTGGGTTTGGATTAGGATCTTGGCCAGTGTCTGTCGGTGTCTGGATTACCAGGACATGCTCTGAAGCTGTACAGCTTCTGGGGAAGAGGGAAGGTGAAGAAGAGACAAGGTGTGGATGGGCAGAAAAGCAAAAAAATGTGGCTTTTGCAGGCGGCGCCTCTGCAGAAGTGGAGCAAAACCAACATGATTCAGCAGATGAAGCTGTAAAATATTCCAACCTTTGAAGTCAAGGCAGTTCAGCCCTGACCATTCATGTATCTCAGAAGTACTAGGAGATAAACGCGGGAAACATTACACAGCTCGGTAAATATGCGTTCATCAGAGTACCCGTAATTGCCATTGTGTTGGGATTTTTGCTTTTATAGAACTACAAACTTGTCTTACAACTGCTAGAAACGCTCTCCCGCTAATTTTGTATTTTTCAAGTTCTTCAGAGATTCTCCATTTTCTCCAAAGACAGAAAATCTATTTTCCTTTCAAACAAAGGAAATCCAGTGTGGAGTCTTTACCTGAGGAAAGAACCTCTCAAAGAAAATGTAACACGGCTGGTAAAACCAGTTGCTCTGAAACACTCTGTATCAGCAAACTGAACAGCTGATAAGAATAATAGAAATTTTTAGTCAATGAGAAAATACTCATCAGGAACCTCATCCTACCAGCACAAAATTTGCTAATATTGCCTGGCCTTGCGTTGCTGCCAGAAGTATGAATTTGTACTGAAATCCCACTGTATGGGAGAAGCACCCCAGCCAAAGTGTAAGAAATTTCACTGCTATAAACAGGGCACATATGGGGTTTATGGAGACATCGGGGTCTGGCTATTGATTTGTGCTTTCCTCTGGGTAATACATGTCCTATAATGCCATGAGATTTATGACCAGGACTTTGAACTCTGGAATAACTTTTAAAAAGAGGGGGCTGTCTATAAAAAGTGTGGTTCGGGTTTTAATCTGTTATAATCTAGTGCCGCAAGAAGACTTCGAGAGTTCATTTATTTGGCCGTGAATACTTTTCACACTGAGACTAGGAGGCCACACTCAAATACCTTCAAAAGTTCATGCCAGGATCAGTGAAATTCAGAGTCACGAATGACCCAGGGAACAATCAATCCTTTGATTATAGGAAGTTCCTATTAAAATAATGGAGCACAGAAAGTGCCTTGCTAAAATGAATGTGAGTCTCCCAAACCTGTACATTTGCGCAAAGTGTTGGCTGAGAAATTTCAGCAATTCCTTTTAAAAAAAAAAAACAAACAAACAAACAACAAAAAACAAAAAGCAGACAACATTTTGATATCAAGCAGAGTTTTGACAACTGATTTGGATAAATTGAATTTCTCTTTTATCCAGATTTCTTGACCTGTTCTTAATACCAATTTCCCTTGGTGCTTGCTTTCTTGATTATAGTTGAAAGAAATTTATAACAAATCTATCTTCTGTTTTCGCTTCTACGTACCTATAAATTTCTACTACATTTATATATTTGTATCTCCAGACTGAAAAGCAAGATAAACCTGAAGGCAAACTTATCGTACCAGAATAAAACTCTTTACTCCTGGGACTGGCCAAAACAACAATCTATGAAAAATGCAAAACAGCAACAGGTCTTGTTTTTAAACTGTTTCGCCAAATATTTTTGTGCTGAGAACCTGATCACTGAAGATGCTAAAGTGCTGCTGGCTGCCCTGAATGCCTCCCAGTCTCTGACTGGGACTGTCCCAGTTGGTGCTCAGCTTCTTGCAGAAGTGGACCCCTTAAGAGTTTGCATACAACTAACTAAACACTAGTAAGATCCTCTGTTTTAGTTTTCCAACACCTGAATGATTTATGGGCAGAAAGTAGGTCTACTGCAAATTCATAATTGATGCGTCTCTTTTGATACGCAGTCTAACAAATGAAAAAAAATATTTAAAATACAATTGATTTGTTACTTGTTATGGACTGGAAGAAGACTTCCAAAAGACTGTCATGTTTTCTGGCTTGCCCTGAGATACAGTTCTATCTAGAAGATCCGAGATCCAAACCATTCATACCTTCACCTAAATAAAAACAAAAGCCATCTTCTTCCCTTGGGTCCTGGTGATACACACACCCCAGCCATCCCAGTTATGTGGGACACATTAAACTGTTTTGACTTGGTTACTTCTAAACAAAACCAATGAAATTCAGTTGCTTATAAAAAAATGAGACGGAGGCCCTCTTTTTCTCTCCTCCACATCACTGCTTTAATCCCTGCTATGACCAGGTGGGTGTAGCAATGACTGTAGCTCCTCAACCTGATGAAAATAGTGTTGCATTCAGAAATTCGATAAATGAATGGGAGGGACAAGTAATGCTTCCCCCCCCCCCCCCCCCCCCCGGATGTTTTGTTAATTAAATTAGCATTTAAATAGCCAGAGCTAATCTGGGAAGTCAGGCCCTCATTACAGTAACTAGGAAGGGGGAAAAGAGCTGCAGACAATTCCCTACAAGATGGGGTTAAGTTGGCGTTTCACAAACTATTTGCCCAGCCTGTCCCTCCCAAGTGAAAGCTGCCACCCCCCCCACCCCACCCCCCCTTTCCTCCCAGAATAATTAGCATGTTCCAGTGCTGTGAATGGAAACAATATCCTCCCTCCAAGCTGTGCCCCTCCAGGGAGATGCTTCCCACAGATTGTGAAACTCTGAGCCAGGGAAAGGGCTTGCCGAGGAATTCACAGTGGGGTAATTACACTGAGGTAGCTTGTGCCCGGTGCAAGATAAGTTGCATTACTGTAATTCATTGCAGGAGGCAGGGGCTCGCATAAAGGAAATGTCCAGAGGCAAGACTGCAGAGCCATGAGAAGTCATTGCCTTCCCAGAGCCCCGATAAAACCCGACGTTGAAGCTGAGGATGGTTCTTTGGCCTCCGAGGATGTCTCCGTCTTCAGAGAAGTTTGCAGAACGTAGCAACGATCACGTGCGAATCTGGTTTCTCTTTGGCAATTAGAATGGAAGAAAGGTTGAAAGGGTGAGTTTTCAGATTTTAAAATAAATTCTTCATCCCAAGTAGAAAACTGAAGCAAAGCTTGCAAGAATTGGATGCTTTCACTTGTTATTGTCCATGTATATGGCACTTAAAACATGCTGGCCCCTCTTTCTATCAAATGAAAAGCTGGTCTGCAATCCTTTCCCCACAAGATTTACTATTTAATTTTACATATAACAGAGAGACCAATGATAACTAATATCAGAGGAGAAGATGCAGGAGGAAGGGCTGGATTTGGGTGACACCTGCTATCCCCAGCAGTATGCACATCTGGCAGGTTTCATCCCACTTATTTAAATTGTATTCCAGGTGACTCAACAGAAAAAACATCACCCTCCACTTGCGGCTCATCATGCCCAGCTGTAAAGCGGGGATTATATTTATCTCCATTGCAAAGTACTCGGTTTCAGAAGACGCTGGTGCGGTTTGCTGAGGCCCCGGCTGGAAAATACCACAAGAAGTTCAAAGCCCGGTTTCATCCTGTAATTGGATCCTCAAGTCCACAAGTGCAAGAACCAACTGTGCGGGCTGAAAGCAGGTCCTCCCCTCTCCCAACAAGAACCCCACCACAACACGGGGCTGTGGGGCTGAGCTGCAAGCGTGGCATACCCAGGAGCTGCTACTTTCTGCTGCTATGCACAAAAAAATGTTGTTTAAAGCTTTTGCCACCCTGTTTGATCTGACCTGCTGTTATTTTTTCTTTCTTTTTTTTTTTTTTTAACTCTAAGACATCTTCTTAACTCTCATGCTCACTTGGGATGCTCTTAAGAACATGGACTTTAATCCCAGTGTTACTTAAATACCAATTTAATATTTGTTTTCTCTCTGCCTTGACAAGATATTCCTCAGGTCAAGCAGGCATGAAATGATAGATATTGAGTGCAATTCTTCTGGGCAAGAAGAGCTACCTTCTAAAATCTTATCTCAAAACCACTTGGAAATGTGTTCTTTATTTATTTATGCCATAAAATCTCATTCGATGTTGAAGGCCCAAAGGATTACAATTCTGAATTGGTTGGTTTGCTGTTTTGTTTTTTTTTTTTTTTTTTCTTTCCCCCTGTCCTTGCTGAAATCTGGCCTTTCAAAATAACACAGAGAGAATCTTTGTTTTGATCTAAAATAGCAGCTGCAAGGGCTTTCAACCATGACCATTTAAATGAGATTTCTTTTTTTGCATCTTCGCATTATAGTTTCATTCTCGGTCTCTGAGATCAGTAGCTGCGGTTGAGCAGCCGAGCCGTCTAATGGGAATAAATTGTAATATTGTTCCAACTGTCTCCGATTATTACTGTTGAGCTCTATTAATGAACCGCCTTCATTAAGCAAACTGCAAAGTGTGTTGACGGCGGCGTATCAGAGGTTGCTCTGCGAAGCCAGACCCAGCCATCATCTAACCCCACGGTCTTTACGTTGGGTTACGGTTCGTGATCCTCGGCGTGACGTGATTTCTAACGGACAGAAACCCCACGGACCAGCAGAGCAATGCCGCCTTGCTTTGTGACTCCCAGAGAACATCTTGCGGCGAGGTGAGGTTTTGGGTCGCAGCGGCGATGCTGCGATATATCGCAGTATTCCCTCAAAAAGGGCCCGAGGCACAGGCAGCACAGACTGAGGTGGGACAGGGCTGGCCCACAGCCACTCTGGTGATGTGTGGCAGGACCTGGGGTGAGCCTGAGACCCCCCTTCTCTGTCAGCGCGACACAACCCACAAACGCCATTTGGGGCTCGCCCCCTCACGAAACTCGTCTATGCTAGCGGACCACATATCCCAGCATGCAATGCTGTCCCGCCAGGAGACGGGCGCGGAAAGGACTACAACTCCCAGCGGGCATCGCGCCTCGCTGCCCGCCTCCCCGGAGCGGCGGGGTGGGCGGCGCTGCACGCTGGGATCTGTAGTCCAGCCGGACGTCGGTCACACACGGTGCCTCCCTTCCTCCGCCCCCCCCCTCCCCCCGGTTTGACACCCCCTCCCGCCCCGCTCCGCCCTCCTCCCCGCCCCGCCGGTTGTCCCTCCGTAAACGGAAGCCGAGGAGGGACGAAGGAGCCGGGGAGGAGGTTGGAGCAGCGCGATGGGGGACTCCAAAGTGAAGGTGGCGGTGCGCGTCCGCCCCACGAACCGGCGAGGTGAGACTTTCCTCCCTCAGTGACACTCCCCCGCTCCCCGGCGCTGGTGTGAGGGGAGCGGGCCCGAGGGGCAGAGCGGGGCGGGAGGCCGGGGGGTGCCGGTCCTCATGGGTGTCTGTAGGGGCAGGTGTGGGTGTCGAGGTGCGCGTGACCCGTCGCGGGGGCGTGTTTATAGGTGTATGTGTCGGGGGGGGGGTGGGGGGGAAGTGTGTATAGGTATATTTATTTATTAATTAATCTTTATGAAGATCTTAGTTTTGTCATTTAGACGTAAGGTATTTTCACACTCTCTTGTATAGTCAGTTTTTCCCTTATTTGTGCTGGCTTCTATGTAGCAAAGGGCAAAGACAAAAATCACTGTAAGGCAACAAACTTTGGCAGAGGGCTATTCTGCAGAAAATCTGGTGACGAAAAGAAATAGTGAAAGAAGTATACTGAAAATCTGTGAAACTAATGCAGAAAGTGAGGATAGGCAGCAATATATTAAAAATAGTATTTCACATTCCCTGGTACTATGAGAAATGCAAAATGAAACAGTAGCTATTAGCTTGGCATGTCAAAAAAGGCCAGTTGTAAGGTGCTTACTTAAGAAATGTTGTAGGAGATAGAGTGTGCGGCAAATCGGTTTGCGATGTTACAGCAGGGAGTGAATTCAAAAGCGATTTCAGGCAAGAGGGAGCTGGAACATTTCTGGGGACCAGTAGCACTAACAGTGGCAGAAGCAATGGTGAAGAATTTACAGGATTTCAGCACAGAGCAGGAAAACTAAAACAGATTCCGATAAAATGCCAGGGCAGTTTACTGGGAAGGATGTTTCTACTTTAGAGAGCTCATTTTTGCCAGTTTGTAAATTCATAGCGGCCGAGAGTCATGAATGCCTCACAACTGGTGACTGCAGAGCTAGAAAATGGAATGACAACAGCTCAGCAGCCGCTTTAGAGACAGCCAGCGTGGCTTCGCCGAGGGCAAATCGTGCCCGACTAATCCAGCGGCCTTCCATGATGGAGTGACGGCATTAGAGGACGAGGGAAGAGCTACGGATGTCACCTGCCTGGAGGACGTCAGTGAGGCACGGACAGGTTCTGGATAAATGGCTTTTAATGGAAAAACTGAGAACAAAACACGCACTACCAAAGCTACTACATCGTCAACACACCCTCCCCCCTCCCCAAACCCACCCGTTCCCCGCAACAGGCCCAGTCCCACCCCCCGCCCCAGCACTGGCTGCAGGGGCCTTGCGCTTGCCGCCATTTTCTGGCCGGGAGCCATTTTGCCGCTTCTCCCCTCGCTTCTCCGCTCGCTTCTCCCCTTGCTTCTCCGCTCGCTTCTCCGCTCGCTTCTCCCGGCTGGTGTCGTGCCGGGACACACTGCCCTGAGGGGGTGGCAGGTCTGTCCCCACGTCCTGCCGTGGATCCTCAGCCCTCATCCTGATGGGAGTTAAGTGCTCCCTGCTCAAGGTGGCTTTGGAGGCCTTGGGGACACGAGTCATTGGGGAGCATCTTCTCGGGCAGCCACAGCGAGCTGATCCTGCGCTGGGGGATGGAGCCACTAGTGCCACCGGTGTCCACGGGCACGGGGACGCTGCTGGAATCGTCCCGGCTGATCCCCCCCTTGCCCCCAGGGAGCAATCCAAGTGCCTCATAGCCTCTTCCAGCAGCACCACCTCAGGCAGCACAACGTCACCGGCTGGAATCACCCCGGGGTCCCTGATGGCTTGGACGTGGAGGGCAGCAGAGTGGCTGGGGGAGATGTTACCACCCAGGGGGGTGCCCTCATCCATGGGGACATCACTCGCCAGGGAGATGTCACATCCTGGGAGGATGTCCTCATCCATGGGGACATCACTCGCCAGGGAGATATCAACACCTGGGAGGATGTCCTCATCCATGGGGACATCACTCGCCAGGGAGATGTCAACACCTGGGAGGATGTCCTCATCCATGGGGACATCACTCGCCAGGGAGATGTCAACACCTGGGAGGATGTCCTTAACCATGGGGATATTGTTGCCTGGGTGGCTGCCACTGCCTGGGGGTGCCGCCAGCGGTTGGCTCTGCTGGACAGGCCATGGTGCGTGTACTGTCCCTCGACGTGGTGGTGGCTGCGGAGGGACGGTGGCAGCACTGGACGGGCTGAGGCCGCTGCTCTGCCCTGACAGTTGTGGGGCAGGACAGCTCAGCTTGGCTCTGGGGGGCCCATTGCTCTGCCCAGGCCGGGGGGAGCCGCAGCCCGGGGGTCCCCACAGGGCAGCACCTGGCCGGGAAGCAACGCTGTGGCCGGTGACAAAGGTGGCAGCTGGAGGCAGGTTGGTGCTCGTCCACTCCGAGTGGGAGACATGGGGGTTGAAGCAGCTGCTGCTTGGAGCCATCTGCAGACCTGCAGAGGTGAGAGGGAGATGTGCAGGGGTGAGGACCTGGAGGAATCTCCTGGGGCACCCCCTGAGCCAGCCCTGAGCACAGACATCCCCCTGCTCTGTGCCGGGTGAGTGGGGAGCTTGTGGCAGGGACGATTGTCCATGTGGTGGTGAAATGGGAGAGATGGCTCCAAGAGATTGGGGAATTATCTATAAATTATATTTACTGGGCAGGTTGATCCTGACAGAGAGACATGAGCACTCACTGGTGATCACATCCCAAGCCGGGACAGGAGGGCGCATGAGGGGACTGAGAAGGAGAAGGGAGAGGCGCAACGGAGAAAGGGCTCTGAATTTCCCCAGAGCGAGTCCCGGGGCTGTCGGGGTCAGGGTTAGTCCTCACCTCTGGTGTAGAAGGTTTTGGGGAAGAGGAATGGCTGCAGTAGCTGGGCCATCGGAGGAGCCCCAGGGCCGCACAGTGTGTGCTGCAGAGCTGGCAGTGCCATGGTCACTTATGTCCTGTGGATTCTGTTTGAGTGTTGCCTGGCAAGGAATGTTGGGGCTCCCCGTGTTCTGTCCCGCCCCCAGTAGCTTTGACTGCTCTTCATGCAGAGGGAAAGGGTTAACAAAAGAGTTGAGTTAAGAGTTATGGTCAATGGCTCAATGTCCAGGGGGAAACCAGTAAGGAGTGGTGTCCCTAAAGGGTTTGTACTGGGACCAGTACTATTTCATGTCTTCACCAATGACATAGACAGTGGGATTGAGTGCACCCTCATCAAATTAGTGAATGACACCAAACTGAGTGGTGCAGTTGCCTCACCTGAGGGAAGGCATGCCTTCCAGAGGGACCTGGACAAGCTTAAGAAGTGGGCCCATGTGAACCTCTTGGAGATCAACAAGGCCAAATGCAAGGTCCTGCACATGGGTCAGGGCAATCCCCAGTAACAATACAGGCTGGGGGATGAGTGGATTGAGAGCAGCCCCACAGAGAAGGACTTGGGAGTACTGGTGGATGAAAAGCTGGACATGACCCGGCAATGTCTGCTCGCAGCCCAGAAAGCCACCCGTGTTCTGGGCTGCAGCCAGAGCAGGGGGGGCAGCAGGGCCAGGGAGGGGATTCTCCCCCTCTGCTCCGCTCTGGGGAGACCCCCCTGCAGTGCTGGGGCCAGCCTGGGGCCCCTGACATCAGAAGGACACTGACCTGCTTGAGCAGGGCCAGAGGAGGCCACAGAAATAATCAGAGGGATTAAACACCTTTCCCATGATGAAAGGTTTGGGGTGGTTCAGCCTGGAGAAGGGAAAGCTCTTGGGGAGACCTTATTGCCGCCTTTCAGTACTTAAAGGGGGCTTATAAGAAAGATGCAGAGAGACATTTTAATAGGGTCTGTTGCAAGAGGACAAGGAGCAACAGTTTTAAACTGAAAGGGGGTAGATTTCGATTAGATGTAAGGAAGAAATTCTTTACTGTGAGGGCAGTGAGGCGCTGGCACAAGTTGCCCAGAGCAGCTGTGGCTGCCCCCTCCCTGGAAGGGTTCAAGGCCAGGTTGGACGGGGCTGGGAGCCCCCTGGGCTGGGGGAAGGGGGCCCTGCCCGGGGCAGGGGGGTTGGGACTGGGTGATCTCTGAGGTCCCTTCCAACCCAAACCACTCTATGATTGAATGACATTTTGTTCTGGAGCAACTTTCTGCAGACGTAATTTTTTGATCCCGCATGTGATGAATATTAGGAGCAACAGTGTGGCTGTGAAGCTGACTGTGGAAGAGCCTCTTAAGAGACATCTCCTCAAGGCAAGCGGGAGGCCGTATGCTGTACAATGCAGCTCTGGGCAAGAGGATGTCTCTGCAAAGAGATGGGCCTTTGAGCTGAGGGGTGTTGGAAGAGGTGGCTTGGTATTTCTGGCAGCTACACACTGCTCCTTGCTTCTCTGGTTGCGATGGCCTTGTGCTGTGCAACAAGCTCTCCTTCATGCTCTTCACTCGTAATAACGTGGTTCTTTGCCTTTCTGAAAACTCAGAAAACTTACCGGCACAAACCCGATGCTCCTTCCCATCCCAGTTATTCGCAATCGGGAGAGGTATTCCCAAATTTTAAGAGAAAATATTTTTGTGTTTTCTTAGTTTTGCAGGCATCCATGAGTGAAGGACCAGAGTACCTCAATCTGTCCCTTCAACAATCCTTCCCCGCTCCATGTTTTCAATTGGAAACCGCACCAGTGAGCTCCTAAATCCAGGTATCATGTACACCAGTGAAGCGGAGGTCTGGAAGCAGAGACAGAAGCAAGGTCTAAGTATCAGAGCTGGGCTTCATTTTCCCAGTAAGCAGACCCAGACCTCAGGTTGAGTTCCCTCTTTATAACACATTGAGATATGGATAGGTACCTTAGGGAACATCTAATGTCAATGCTCACCCATACAGAAATACCACGGGGACTTTTGATTTAGGAGCCAAACTGGTTTGTTTGTTCAATGGGCACGTTTCCAGCAGAGGCCCATGACACCAGCTTTTAGCAGTACACTCCCAACACTTGACATTTATTAAAGCCACAGCTCAGTGAGTGAGGTAATTACCTGGGCATTTCCATTTTCATTTCTAGTAAGTCCAAATTAAAGTCCAAATAAAGTACATTTTTAGCCCTTCGGCAAAGATTACTCCTTTTTTTTTTTTTTTGAACACTTTCCTTCAGGTAGTTAACCATTCATAATACCCATCAATAACCGCTTAGCTGAAGGTATTAGGGTTTAGGGTTACGTAGACAGTAGTAGTCAAAATGCTGTTTCATTCTTTTTGTCACATAATCTATACTGTATGATAAGCACTACGTAGTAGGCACAAAGCAAAAAGGAGGCCCCCGGTATTTACTTCTCTCTGATAACCTGTGCTAATGAGTTTGCTGCCATTTTAGCTGAAATATGGATAAAAGAAATCCCATCTCGTGTCCTAACGAGCGCAAGCCCTGAGCGTAGACAAACCCTGGGAAGGGCCACATAAGGGTTGTGGCAAGATCAGTGGAAATCCTCTGCCCAAATTCAGGGTGCCAGGACCACATCTGTGTCTCCATGCTTGGCTGCAGCATTTTAGGAGCCATGGGAGAGTTGCCAGCACCCCTTTGCTCTCCCACTTTCACCCCAAAGGAGCTGGTCCAGGGGAATGGGTGCCACCAGGCAATGGGTGCTCATGCTGCGAGGGCGGGTAGAAGTCCTTGCTTGTCCCCAGCTCTTTCCTTAAAAGCAGCAGGGGAAAATCAATAAATAAGGAAGGACAGGAAAGGGGACCATTACAATTAGACCTGATTTTATTTTGCTCCGTAGCCACCGGGCGTCACTCTTGCCTATAGAGTCAGAAAGGAATTTTTGGTCGTCGCTGATAAAATCCCATTTCATCCATAAATTCTACAGCTCCCGGCACTGACAGCAGCATCCCCATTTATCAAAATTTCCCAAGTTTCAACATCAAATTACCAACTCGTTAAATCTGGGGGTATCTGGAGCTGGCAATTTAGCCTGCGGTGTTATTTGCTAAACATAGGCAAAACACATTAGGGTTTTTTTATTATTATTATTATTATTATTATTAGTGTAAATGCAGCTGGATAATTTAGATCTGGGTTTGGATTAGGATCTTGGCCAGTGTCTGTCGGTGTCTGGATTACCAGGACATGCTCTGAAGCTGTACAGCTTCTGGGGAAGAGGGAAGGTGAAGAAGAGACAAGGTGTGGATGGGCAGAAAAGCAAAAAAATGTGGCTTTTGCAGGCGGCGCCTCTGCAGAAGTGGAGCAAAACCAACATGATTCAGCAGATGAAGCTGTAAAATATTCCAACCTTTGAAGTCAAGGCAGTTCAGCCCTGACCATTCATGTATCTCAGAAGTACTAGGAGATAAACGCGGGAAACATTACACAGCTCGGTAAATATGCGTTCATCAGAGTACCCGTAATTGCCATTGTGTTGGGATTTTTGCTTTTATAGAACTACAAACTTGTCTTACAACTGCTAGAAACGCTCTCCCGCTAATTTTGTATTTTTCAAGTTCTTCAGAGATTCTCCATTTTCTCCAAAGACAGAAAATCTATTTTCCTTTCAAACAAAGGAAATCCAGTGTGGAGTCTTTACCTGAGGAAAGAAACTCTCAAAGAAAATGTAACACGGCTGGTAAAACCAGTTGCTCTGAAACACTCTGTATCAGCAAACTGAACAGCTGATAAGAATAATAGAAATTTTTAGTCAATGAGAAAATACTCATCAGGAACCTCATCCTACCAGCACAAAATTTGCTAATATTGCCTGGCCTTGCGTTGCTGCCAGAAGTATGAATTTGTACTGAAATCCCACTGTATGGGAGAAGCACCCCAGCCAAAGTGTAAGAAATTTCACTGCTATAAACAGGGCACATATGGGGTTTATGGAGACATCGGGGTCTGGCTATTGATTTGTGCTTTCCTCTGGGTAATACATGTCCTATAATGCCATGAGATTTATGACCAGGACTTTGAACTCTGGAATAACTTTTAAAAAGAGGGGGCTGTCTATAAAAAGTGTGGTTCGGGTTTTAATCTGTTATAATCTAGTGCCGCAAGAAGACTTCGAGAGTTCATTTATTTGGCCGTGAATACTTTTCACACTGAGACTAGGAGGCCACACTCAAATACCTTCAAAAGTTCATGCCAGGATCAGTGAAATTCAGAGTCACGAATGACCCAGGGAACAATCAATCCTTTGATTATAGGAAGTTCCTATTAAAATAATGGAGCACAGAAAGTGCCTTGCTAAAATGAATGTGAGTCTCCCAAACCTGTACATTTGCGCAAAGTGTTGGCTGAGAAATTTCAGCAATTCCTTTTAAAAAAAAAAAAAAACCAAACAAACAACAAAAAACAAAAAGCAGACAACATTTTGATATCAAGCAGAGTTTTGACAACTGATTTGGATAAATTGAATTTCTCTTTTATCCAGATTTCTTGACCTGTTCTTAATACCAATTTCCCTTGGTGCTTGCTTTCTTGATTATAGTTGAAAGAAATTTATAACAAATCTATCTTCTGTTTTCGCTTCTACGTACCTATAAATTTCTACTACATTTATATATTTGTATCTCCAGACTGAAAAGCAAGATAAACCTGAAGGCAAACTTATCGTACCAGAATAAAACTCTTTACTCCTGGGACTGGCCAAAACAACAATCTATGAAAAATGCAAAACAGCAACAGGTCTTGTTTTTAAACTGTTTCGCCAAATATTTTTGTGCTGAGAACCTGATCACTGAAGATGCTAAAGTGCTGCTGGCTGCCCTGAATGCCTCCCAGTCTCTGACTGGGACTGTCCCAGTTGGTGCTCAGCTTCTTGCAGAAGTGGACCCCTTAAGAGTTTGCATACAACTAACTAAACACTAGTAAGATCCTCTGTTTTAGTTTTCCAACACCTGAATGATTTATGGGCAGAAAGTAGGTCTACTGCAAATTCATAATTGATGCGTCTCTTTTGATACGCAGTCTAACAAATGAAAAAAAATATTTAAAATACAATTGATTTGTTACTTGTTATGGACTGGAAGAAGACTTCCAAAAGACTGTCATGTTTTCTGGCTTGCCCTGAGATACAGTTCTATCTAGAAGATCCGAGATCCAAACCATTCATACCTTCACCTAAATAAAAACAAAAGCCATCTTCTTCCCTTGGGTCCTGGTGATACACACACCCCAGCCATCCCAGTTATGTGGGACACATTAAACTGTTTTGACTTGGTTACTTCTAAACAAAACCAATGAAATTCAGTTGCTTATAAAAAAATGAGACGGAGGCCCTCTTTTTCTCTCCTCCACATCACTGCTTTAATCCCTGCTATGACCAGGTGGGTGTAGCAATGACTGTAGCTCCTCAACCTGATGAAAATAGTGTTGCATTCAGAAATTCGATAAATGAATGGGAGGGACAAGTAATGCTTCCCCCCCCCCCCCCCCCCCCCCCCGGATGTTTTGTTAATTAAATTAGCATTTAAATAGCCAGAGCTAATCTGGGAAGTCAGGCCCTCATTACAGTAACTAGGAAGGGGGAAAAGAGCTGCAGACAATTCCCTACAAGATGGGGTTAAGTTGGCGTTTCACAAACTATTTGCCCAGCCTGTCCCTCCCAAGTGAAAGCTGCCACCCCCCCCACCCCACCCCCCCTTTCCTCCCAGAATAATTAGCATGTTCCAGTGCTGTGAATGGAAACAATATCCTCCCTCCAAGCTGTGCCCCTCCAGGGAGATGCTTCCCACAGATTGTGAAACTCTGAGCCAGGGAAAGGGCTTGCCGAGGAATTCACAGTGGGGTAATTACACTGAGGTAGCTTGTGCCCGGTGCAAGATAAGTTGCATTACTGTAATTCATTGCAGGAGGCAGGGGCTCGCATAAAGGAAATGTCCAGAGGCAAGACTGCAGAGCCATGAGAAGTCATTGCCTTCCCAGAGCCCCGATAAAACCCGACGTTGAAGCTGAGGATGGTTCTTTGGCCTCCGAGGATGTCTCCGTCTTCAGAGAAGTTTGCAGAACGTAGCAACGATCACGTGCGAATCTGGTTTCTCTTTGGCAATTAGAATGGAAGAAAGGTTGAAAGGGTGAGTTTTCAGATTTTAAAATAAATTCTTCATCCCAAGTAGAAAACTGAAGCAAAGCTTGCAAGAATTGGATGCTTTCACTTGTTATTGTCCATGTATATGGCACTTAAAACATGCTGGCCCCTCTTTCTATCAAATGAAAAGCTGGTCTGCAATCCTTTCCCCACAAGATTTACTATTTAATTTTACATATAACAGAGAGACCAATGATAACTAATATCAGAGGAGAAGATGCAGGAGGAAGGGCTGGATTTGGGTGACACCTGCTATCCCCAGCAGTATGCACATCTGGCAGGTTTCATCCCACTTATTTAAATTGTATTCCAGGTGACTCAACAGAAAAAACATCACCCTCCACTTGCGGCTCATCATGCCCAGCTGTAAAGCGGGGATTATATTTATCTCCATTGCAAAGTACTCGGTTTCAGAAGACGCTGGTGCGGTTTGCTGAGGCCCCGGCTGGAAAATACCACAAGAAGTTCAAAGCCCGGTTTCATCCTGTAATTGGATCCTCAAGTCCACAAGTGCAAGAACCAACTGTGCGGGCTGAAAGCAGGTCCTCCCCTCTCCCAACAAGAACCCCACCACAACACGGGGCTGTGGGGCTGAGCTGCAAGCGTGGCATACCCAGGAGCTGCTACTTTCTGCTGCTATGCACAAAAAAATGTTGTTTAAAGCTTTTGCCACCCTGTTTGATCTGACCTGCTGTTATTTTTTCTTTCTTTTTTTTTTTTTTTTAACTCTAAGACATCTTCTTAACTCTCATGCTCACTTGGGATGCTCTTAAGAACATGGACTTTAATCCCAGTGTTACTTAAATACCAATTTAATATTTGTTTTCTCTCTGCCTTGACAAGATATTCCTCAGGTCAAGCAGGCATGAAATGATAGATATTGAGTGCAATTCTTCTGGGCAAGAAGAGCTACCTTCTAAAATCTTATCTCAAAACCACTTGGAAATGTGTTCTTTATTTATTTATGCCATAAAATCTCATTCGATGTTGAAGGCCCAAAGGATTACAATTCTGAATTGGTTGGTTTGCTGTTTTGTTTTTTTTTTTTTTTTCTTTCCCCCTGTCCTTGCTGAAATCTGGCCTTTCAAAATAACACAGAGAGAATCTTTGTTTTGATCTAAAATAGCAGCTGCAAGGGCTTTCAACCATGACCATTTAAATGAGATTTCTTTTTTTGCATCTTCGCATTATAGTTTCATTCTCGGTCTCTGAGATCAGTAGCTGCGGTTGAGCAGCCGAGCCGTCTAATGGGAATAAATTGTAATATTGTTCCAACTGTCTCCGATTATTACTGTTGAGCTCTATTAATGAACCGCCTTCATTAAGCAAACTGCAAAGTGTGTTGACGGCGGCGTATCAGAGGTTGCTCTGCGAAGCCAGACCCAGCCATCATCTAACCCCACGGTCTTTACGTTGGGTTACGGTTCGTGATCCTCGGCGTGACGTGATTTCTAACGGACAGAAACCCCACGGACCAGCAGAGCAATGCCGCCTTGCTTTGTGACTCCCAGAGAACATCTTGCGGCGAGGTGAGGTTTTGGGTCGCAGCGGCGATGCTGCGATATATCGCAGTATTCCCTCAAAAAGGGCCCGAGGCACAGGCAGCACAGACTGAGGTGGGACAGGGCTGGCCCACAGCCACTCTGGTGATGTGTGGCAGGACCTGGGGTGAGCCTGAGACCCCCCTTCTCTGTCAGCGCGACACAACCCACAAACGCCATTTGGGGCTCGCCCCCTCACGAAACTCGTCTATGCTAGCGGACCACATATCCCAGCATGCAATGCTGTCCCGCCAGGAGACGGGCGCGGAAAGGACTACAACTCCCAGCGGGCATCGCGCCTCGCTGCCCGCCTCCCCGGAGCGGCGGGGTGGGCGGCGCTGCACGCTGGGATCTGTAGTCCAGCCGGACGTCGGTCACACACGGTGCCTCCCTTCCTCCGCCCCCCCCCTCCCCCCGGTTTGACACCCCCTCCCGCCCCGCTCCGCCCTCCTCCCCGCCCCGCCGGTTGTCCCTCCGTAAACGGAAGCCGAGGAGGGACGAAGGAGCCGGGGAGGAGGTTGGAGCAGCGCGATGGGGGACTCCAAAGTGAAGGTGGCGGTGCGCGTCCGCCCCATGAACCGGCGAGGTGAGACTTTCCTCCCTCAGTGACACTCCCCCGCTCCCCGGCGCTGGTGTGAGGGGAGCGGGCCCGAGGGGCAGAGCGGGGCGGGAGGCCGGGGGGTGCCGGTCCTCATGGGTGTCTGTAGGGGCAGGTGTGGGTGTCGAGGTGCGCGTGACCCGTCGCGGGGGCGTGTTTATAGGTGTATGTGTCGGGGGGGGGGGGGGGGGGGGGGGGAGTGTGTATAGGTATATTTAATTATTTATTACACCTCCGTGTGCAGGTACAGGTAGGTTGGGGGGGCGTAGCCGAGCAGCTCTCACAAAGCAGCTATCTTCGCTACCCTCTCCTGACACCGTTTTCCTAAACTCGCCTTGTTTTATGGCTTTTTTTTTTTTTCCGTCTATCTCCCCCCCCACCCGGGGTACACCGCTCTCCACACCTCTTGCACCTGCCTTACAGCCGGGCTGTGCCCTGTTTCCTGCTGGGAGAGCTCTTCCTTCTTCCTGCTTTCTGGGGGTTTGGGGAAAAATACCTCTCTTTCTGTGTTTTCTCCTGTGCTCATTCAGCCCTCAGCTCTGTAACCTCGCTCGTTATCCCGTGGTGATTGAGTGGGACGGAGTTAACCAGATGACAGAGGCACTGTAAGGACAAAAGAAACAAAAACAAACAAGAAAAGATGGAAGAGGAAGCAGAGAATATTTTGTTGTTGTTGTTGTTAGGTTGGTGTTTTGTTTTTTTCCCCTCAGCGAAACTTGCCTAAGGGTTATGTTAATCAGACCATGGACTGGGCATCTCTTTAAATGTTTGTTACTTAATTAGAAAAACTTGCTCTAGATGATGAGGAAGCAAGTATGAAAAGTCAAATTTAGCCAAGAAATGAAAAGGTGAAGAAGGCAAAAATCCAAGAAATGTGTAGGGTAGGTTTTTTTCTCCCACATTCTCACAGAACTATGCCAATAATTCCTTTTGGGGAAAGGGAATCAAGTGAAGTCAGTTTAATAGCTGAAGCAAAAGGTAAGGGGTGGCGGAAGGGGAAAACCCTTTATCTTCTATGTGATCTGAAGCAAAGTAACTTTTAAATTCCTTTCAATAAATAATAAGAAAAAAAAAAGGTTAAAGTATTGACTACAGTATTTCCATACCTTTTAAAATAAAAGCAGGGGAATGTCAAACTGAGTTCACAAGAGCTATCAAGTCCCATGTCCAAAACAGAGGAGATGGAGTTGAGTCTTGGGTTAGGGCAATCGAGGATATTTTGACCAAAATCTGCATTTTGTTAAATTTCAGGTAGCAGTTCTCAAAACTGACGAGGGACCCATCCTTGTGGAGAATTGCTTGGAGGAGACTGAGTGACAGTGTGATGGACTTGGTGGGAGCTGGGATGGAAAGGAGCTGAAAGGTGGTGCCTTGTTTCAGTGATAGACATGGGCTTTCCTCTTGCTCACGTCCCTTTCCTGTCATAGGTCATTTCCTTGGCTGTGACCCAGACATCTTCTGACTCTGTAGTGCTCTTTACCCATGGGATTATACAAGAATTCAGGTTGGAAGGGACCTCTGGAGTTCTCTAGTCCAACTCGCTGCTCAGAGCAGGTCAAATTAGGCAAGGTTGCACAGGGCCTTGTTCATTCAAGTTTTGAATCTCCAAGGATGAATAATGCACGTCTCCTTCCTGGTGTATATTCTACGTATATTCAGCCCCGAGTTCATGCACATGTAGTGGTCTTCAAGCTGTTTGCAGTTAAGGACTGAGTTCCACAGAAAATATATGTGGGGAAGAAGTGGTAGAAAAAAAGGGGAAAAAAATGATGGAAAATTATAGATTTAGGACAGTACCTCTGTTTGAAGCTTCTGCCTTGCTGGGGAATATCCTAACAGCAAGCTGCACAAATCTGGGAGAATGGGAGAGTGTATCTTGTTATTTGAGCTATTTTATTCTGCATAAACTTAAAAATGTTATGGAATAGAGAGGATGACTGCAGCCTGGTTGTTTGGAGGCTCATCCAGGAGTGAGGGATGTTTGAGTATCAGTCCTTGCTGTTCCTCAGAGACAAGAGGGAGCTGAAGCCCACGCTCCTGGCACATAGCTTGGCAGTCTGGATGTACCTCCTCTCTGTTAAGAACTGCTTTGCAGCTATTAAAACAAACTCTTACTTTGTGAGTGATACCTAAATCCATGTAAGTCTAGCCTAAAAGATCAATGTCTTTTTCTCTCCCTGAAACAAAGTGTCCCGGAACGTTTTTTTTTTTTTTTTTTTTAATGGATTATTTGTCACAGTCCAGATGTTTTGGTCAGTTCTAAACAACTGACACCTCCATGCAGTATTTCTGATGCTCCTAGAATTTACAGAAACAGTGATATGAAGCCTAGTATTTTTCTTACCTACTTGATGTTACATTTAAGAATTTGTGTAACCGATTTTCTGAGGAGTCATTCACTTGTAGGACTTCTGTGGCTTTGTTTTTTTTAATAGGCTTTGAGGCAAGAGGCAGCTTTCTTAGAAGCTCTCTAATATGCACTTTGTTCTGAGTAGTATTTGTATGAAGTTCTAGGGCTTTGGACCTGAAGCAAGTATTTGTTTTCTTCAGGATCACAAGTAATGTTCTTTCCTTCCCTCTGCAACGAAGGGCTTAAAATTGCAAACCTGTCAGATGGTTATAACTGTTGAAATTTAAGCTTTGAAATATTCTCAGTGTTTACTTACAGTGGTGGTGGTTGTCTTTGGTGTTTGAATTATGAATTTCTTAAGGCGAGGGTTTATTAGGTTAATAAAAGTGGTATGTTTAACTATTACTAATTTATACAGCTCATAAAAGTATAATAGGTTCCTTGCGTGGATGTTGGAGGGATTTCTATATCAAATAGTTGGTTATTCATAGTACTCGCATTTCAAGGTGATAGTACTGAGTGTCGTGCTTCATTCTCATGCAAAGTGGCAGTCTACAAACTAAGCTTATAATACTGATTTTTAGCAGCAAGGGGGAGCATTCATAATTGTGCGTAGGTTACTTTTTTTTATGCAACTAGGTTACTTTTTTGCATCTTGCTTCAAATTAGACACCAATCCTACAAGCTGTGTATGGAAGCCATGCTTTTATAAAACTACTGCTACGTCAGTACACTTGCAGCATCACATCTAAAGTTGTAGGCTCTGCTAGGTAGCAATTGTGACTTCTTTTTTTGCATACTTCCTACTTTGCAAACTGGGGTCTTGATTAGCATGCTATTATGAATTAAATAATTCAGTGCTGTTTTGTTAGGTAAGACTCTTAGTGCTCTGTTTTCTTTGTGTCGTCATTCACAAAAATATTTCCTTGTGCACTGCTTTTTCAGATGGGTTTTTGATTACAATCAGTACGTTCTTTTGCTGTTGTATTTTAGACTTGCAGTGGATTTTCTTTTACCAATATTGTCAGTGTTTGACTTCGCTTAGCAGGTATTAATTTTATTTCAGGTAAAGGCCATGCAAAGCTTAAGCCGTACCATGAAGCAAAGCAAAAGACAGCTGGAGGCTTCTTAATTAAGATTTGTTTTACTGAATATTTTGTTTTTGAGTGATACTGATGTACAGGCATTCCATAAGTATGTTTAAGTCCTTGTGTTTCCCTGTGCCTTTGAATCAATTCAGTGTAGTGTTAATTAAAATATAACATCTTTTATCAGTACTAAAAGAATATGACTTATGATCAAGGGTATAGCTGAAGCCAGTCAAAACTACTGCTGTTGTGTTGCTACATCTCACTTGGGTTAATGCTTTTCTGTCTGAACAAGAAAAGCAGGAAACTAACTGCAAAAAAATATGTGTTTAGTGCTTTGTCTGAGTTATTGAGGAGCAATAGAAGTATCAGTGGTGGCATTACACAGCTCAGGTGGGGAGTGGTGGTGTGGATGTGCCAGGTTCAGTGTAAGTAGTGTGTGACTACAGCCTGTCTGCTGGCAGTGCTGCCAGATGAAACTGTTCGTAGGATTGTGGTATAAGACCCATAGCTTCCAGTTTAAATACCTAGATGGCCTCTAAATATACATTCAGGTGTCTATTATGTTAATGTATATATTCATCCAGGCTAGTTTCTGTGCTCATACAGGGAACTCTTCGTGCTTTGATGAAGATTCTGTCTCCAGTGCTTGTAAGGAAGGAACTTGCTCCTGTATCTGTGCAAGCTTCTGACCATGGTCTTAGGTGCTAATTTTATGTCTTCCTTCTCTTTGGAGGAGGTTGCTTTTCCAGTCGCTTGAAATGGTTTTGGTTTGGGGGGAGGAGGTGAGGATTGTTCCCGTGTCTTTGTTTTGTTTTGTTTTTTCCCCATTGGAGATTTACAACAGCAACAATTTATCTATAAATTGGAGTTTGTGCAAGCAGTCTTACAAGACTAATTATGGTATTAGAGTAAATGAATACAGCACCTAATGTATCCTGATAGCAATATGCAAAACACAAGACTTTTCTTCATCATTATCCTTGTCATATATGAGTGCGTAGAGTTTTTAAAATTTCCTGGTGATTGTTGATAACCTATAAAATACTGTTTGTGGGATGAGCAGGATTAACCTAGAGATACGGTGACAAATGGGTATGGCACGTAGAGTTAGTGTTTCATCTTGTGTTCTTCAGTGAGGCAATCTTCTTACTCCCCACAGCCAAAGTCTCTGGTGAGACTACCAGTCAGTCCAATGTGGATGCCACAAAGGCAAACAATTCTTGTGCTAATTCCATCTTTAGAGCTAGCCTAAAGTGCAGTATGAGATTACCTTGCTGCTCTGGTTTCACATTTGCTTGCTTCTCCTGAAGTCAACAGAAGATCAGATACAGATGCTGTGAACAGTTCTGCCTTGGCCTTTGGGTGGCTGGTGGCAGAGCAAACACTATTGCATTTCGTCCTTGTTAACTTTGAAGCCTGAAATAAAGCAGCAGCGGAGAGTTTTGTGTTTAACTTCCTCAGAGCTATTTGCTGCATCAGAAAGTCACCAGACTGATTTATTTACTTAGCCTCCATGAGCTGAGTGGTGCATGCAGCAGCAGAACTGA